TTATCAAAAAAAAAATTCACGATTTAAAAAATTCTAGAATTTGTAGGTTGAGAGAATTGGAAAAAAATGCTAAAGAGTTTTTCAATAAATGAATTAAAGCACACTGCGACTGAAATGAAAAAACAATGCACTATGAATAGTAAGCCTCCAAAATATGGGTTCAATATCATTTCTTTTTTAATTTTTTTAAATTGTTTTTTTTTTCAAATTTATCTATTTATTATTTTTATTGTTTGAAAATTTTCAAAAAATTCCAACCAAATCGAGGGTAACTCATGCACGCTTCCACCCGCCGGTTCGAAATTTAAAATTTGACCATTGCTCTCCACAGTAAAAACAATCATTATCGTTGATTTTTCAAAAAAAAATAAAAATAAATAAATAAAATGATAAATATGAAACTTGGCGCTTAATTGCCGGTGGTCTGGTCCCGTTGATGAGGTCTATTTTCCCGGAATTTGCGATTTTTATTCCGTGTACCTGGGGCATCTCCAACGGAGAAAGTAAAACGAGTTTTTAAATTTCATTTAGAGATTCAGTTAGAGACTGAGTTTCTAAAAAATAAGTTCATCTCCAGTGAGTTCTATAAAATTAATTTAATGTATTCATTTATAAATTATTTTATAATTAGATTATAGCTTAATTTTGTATATTAAATTTTTGATAGTTAGTTTTCATTTGCATTATCTTAATTTTTATTTTAATTTACGGTTAAACAATTTTAAGCTAGAGTCTCTATATACAATCTGTAAATAAAGGAAAATATTTAGAAACTTTAGGTATAGTCTTTATTTTAGAGATAATTTAGAACATCTGTTAGTGTTGAGTTTTTTTTACTAAAGTTTTTAAAATATGGAGCCTCATGAGTTTTAAGGACTCCATTGGAGATAGGGGTGAGCAAAAAAACCGAAAAACCGAACCAAAAAACTAAAAAATCGAGCCGTTTCAAACCGTACCGAATAGCAAACCGCATGTACGGTTTTTTATTTTTGAAATACTGAATTATTCGGTTCGGTATGGTGGAAAGGTAAATAACCGAACCGACCGGAAACTATATAAAAGGACTTCATTTTATATAATAAATGTATTATTTTACCCTATTTTTTATTTTATATCTTTCAATTACTTGTTTCACTCTAAGCATTTGTTCATAAATTGAGACATTGTATTTTATTAGTAATTAAAAATTTACTTGAGTTCATGGTTTTAATAATGTGGTAGATGAAAGTAGGAAAATCAATAAAGCATAATACATAAATTACGTTAAGTCCTATGGAATTAAAGATTTTATATTTTCATTGCATTAGTAAGTTGAAATTAATTGTAATTGTATTCTTTTGTTTGTACAACTTGAGTATATAGTTACTCTTGAACTGAAAAATAACCGAAATCGAACCGAAAAAAACCGAAACCGAACCGAACCGAACCGATAAAAAACCGACATACACGGTTTTTAATTTTACTAAAACCGATATATTCGGTTCATATTCGGTTTTAGCCAAAAACAGAACCGAACCGAGCCGTGCATACACCTAATTGGAGATGTCCTTACATAACCTTGATTTCTTTTGTAAAAAAAATGAATAGGTAGATTATAAAGGATTTAACAACAAGTAAATATTTTAGTGGTAAAATCAAGTCATATAATTCTTAATATTTGATAAATCTTCTACTAAATAATAAATATGCAACTCTTTTTTTTCCATTTTATTTTTAATAACTAATAATTATGCTAAGTTGATGAGTCGAGTCAGGCGAGTTTTATGTGCTCACTCACATAAAAAAAAAGCCGAATTAGTCATTTCAGCATTACTATGTTCAAACTGCTCAGTTTTCAGTTTCTTTCCCAGTCTTCCTTTCTTTCTCTCTCTATTTGTTGAACTCTCTCCTTTATTTTCTCTCTTCCTTTTTCTGTCTCTTTTTCTTAAAATCCTTTGTTCCCTTCTTTCCTTTCTGTCTCTTTTTCTTGAAACCCTTCACTCCCTCTTTCTTTTTCTTGAACGTCGTTCAAAGATGGCCGCCGCGATTGGGCGGCTAGAGTGGCGGTGACTAAAGTTGGCATGCCGGAGTTGGCAAGAGCTGTAGTGTCGGAGGTTGGTAAAACTGTCTTTCCTTTTCTTGAACGTCGTTCAAAGATGGCCGCCGCGATGGGGCGGCTAGAGTGGCGGTGACTAAAGTTGGCATGCCGGAGTTGGCAAGAGTTGTAGTGTCGGAGGTTGGTAAAACTGCCAGACTACGGACGAAGTGGAACTTCATAGATTCCATTAAGAACATATGGTCGAAATTGCAGAAAATTGAAAAATGTGAACCCATCGGAAGGACGATGTCCCCGTTTAAGCCAAGACAGAGAACAGTAGACATTTGGACACGACATTTCGGGCTCACGTCTAGTTTCTTTCGAAAGAAAAAAAAACAATTTTGGTGAATGAATCGTCGGGCATTGTCGGTCTGCATTTGCAGGAATCCTTTGACGCTGAAATCTTCTTAGTTGGAAATAGAATGGTCTACTCTAACGAAAGTTGTTTCATAGGTGTTTACGATGGTTTTCGCGGTGGGGCCCGCCCCCTATGCCCGGAGGCACCTCCTCCAATATTTGGCCGATAATGAAGATTATGATAATTAGTAGTTTTTTTTTTCATTTAATTTTGTTCAAAGATCATCACATTTTTTTTATATTTTCAGATGCCTATTGTCACGGACTTGTTCCCGTAACAACGAACCGTGCGGCCTTAGCTCCTTCTCGCCCCTCGCGATAGCTAAGTCAGTCTCTCCCGAAAGTGTTGCCCTCGCGATAGCTAAGTCAGTCTCTCCCGAAAGTGTTGCGAATGCTAAGTGATAGAAAATGAAAGAAGAACTTAAGAAGATAAGAGAGTTTGTAGGAAAGTACTTTATTGCTTGAGTGCTTGTTGGATTTCTTGGATGGTTACAAATGAGGACCCTACCTCTATTTATACTAGACCTCCTCCTTAATGGACGGTGGAGATCTATTTAATATAACGGTTGGGATTGGTTCACTAGAACACTCCAAAGAATTCCTACAAAATATCTACAAGGGAGGGTTCTAGCATATTTTCTAGAATCCTCCAAAAATCTCTACTCTTCTATACATTTGGGCCAATTTGGGCCTAACTCTATTTGGACTAAATCTTGGGCTTCTTAACCTCCCAACCCAAAGAAAACTGTCAAGGGGTTGGGCCAAAACTAGCGGGTCGTGACACTATATACACTACAAGAGAAATGATTTTTAAAAATGGCTAAAGCATGTTGTGATATTATATATTTGACAAAATGCACTAAATGCATGTTGTTGCAAGTCTAACATACTAAATGCATGTTATATATTTCACATGCGTTTTGCATGTTATTAACAGAACATACTACAAAACGTTTATGCATATTGTAGAATATATTAAATATAAAGAATGTTTCACAATGTCTTGTAGAATAATTAAGCAATAACAAGATACATAAGTATGTTGTCAAATGTTGTAATATAAATTTTTAAAATAAAATAAATATAACAAAAATATTTAAGTGTCTTGTAATTTAAGAACGGCGGGATATGGAAATTTTAGCTAGGTAATAAAATAGCATGGGGAGTTTTTTAACAATTAGAACACATTGGGTGCCAAATACAATAAATCTGTGATATATATAAAGATTTTTTGCCTTCAACACCCTTGTGTTTACTCTAATTGATAAAAAAGACCTGTGTTATTAATATTAGCAAAAACTAGTAAATTGCCCCGTGCGATGCACGGGCCATTGAAAATTGAATATATATATATATATATATATATATATATATATATATATATATATATATATATATGTTCAATTGACAAATTAATGAGTACCTCTTAAATAATTGGTCCAATATGTAAAGCTCAATACATACACGAAGTGTGAAAGTTAAAAAAATCCATGATAACCAATACCTTCAATAGAAGAATTTGGGTTTAATTTCACTTTGCAGCCTAGAAAAATTTAATAGCATTTTGTACTCTTTAAACACAATAAACCATTCAAATTGAACCACGAACTAAACTTTTAATAGTTTATATGGCAAATGAATCTTTCTAATGGCATTTTTGTTTTGGTGAAACTTTTATAATATACAAAGTACAAATTTAAAAGAATTAATTACTCATCAAATTAATTTAAAGCTAAATTTGTTTCTCACAAAAGAACTCTCGTATTTGTTTCTCAACATTCGATTGGTATAGCATTTACTATAATTTTTTGAACATACCTGCTTGGATTATTTTTATATACAAAAATAGGTAAGTGGTTTTTTTCTTAACTCGACATTACCTATCCCTCGGATAATTTGATGAGAGAATATTTAAAAATAATTTAATTTTGTTCTATAAAAACTAACTTTCAAGCGATGTGGGGGGATTTATTTATTTTTATTGAAAATTATCGGTATTAAGAAGAAATTATCCTCATTAAGTTACAAAAAAACAATCTGGGGTACATGGTAAATAATTTATTGTGTTTTAAGGGTGCAAATTACTATTAACCTTTTTTTAAGGGTATAAACTGCTATTAATTTTTTTTCGACAGTGCAAAACGCCAAAAGGCTACATTTCAAGAGTGCAAAGTGAAATTAAACCAAAATACTTTTCAACTTTTGATATACATAATCCATCACAATAAAAAATCATACAATGACATGCACTACAATCTCTACAAATAACTAATCAACATGAACAATCAATCAAGCAATCGACATACTATCTAATAATGTAGAATAGTGCACCTTTTCAAGTCAATTAAAAATAAAAGATCAAAACGAATTATTATAAATACATGATAATAGGAAAATCTAATAAAGACAAAATTAGTTAACGGCTGTCGTATACAAAATCAATACATAGAACAACAAAGATATTGACATTCCACTAACTGCAATTATGAGGCATAAAACTTATTTATCGATAAATTAATTGTACATATGTTCATATACCACAAAATTAATTAAAGATGTGCACAAATTTGAAGAAAACCATTTCTCTTCATTTTCCCATAAAGAGAATATTTTCTCACCTCCCATTGCTACAACCCAAGAGTTTACAAAAAATTCAATAAAACATTATCAGATTAATATTGTAGCAACAACTTATTTATAGCTTGATTAACTGGACAGTTAATCCACATCGGATCTGAGACGACATTAACCAAATAGATTGATTTATGAACGTTTACGTCGTCCACAATATAATCTCTCGATTGCTTGAATAGTCGCTGCTGTTTCTCAATAACAAATGTTGACATGTCTTGCTACTTCTCTGTCACAGAAAACATCAAAAAATAATTCAATTTTCAAAAGAACAACGTAACATATAGCCGACCAGTCCAATAAAAGAGTAAAAACACATAATTCCCAGGCAAGCATCTTACTTCATCCAAAATCCATCACTCCATAACAATTCTTGAGTAAAAACAAAAATGATAAAACATATATTAGTATGAGAAATTCATACTTAAATAGGAAAACTAAAACAGTTTTTTTGCACGATTATGACAAACAATGAATCATATAAACTTACATCCATAACATACCAAAAGTAATAAAAAAATATTACCAGAAGCGATGATTGGTCTTTGACGGTAAAATCCTACATAGAGATGGAGATGATTGTTGATTATTCTTTTATGGAAGAAAATCCCAAAAAAAAAAAAAAAAAAAAATCCAAACCATAACGGCTTCAATTGTTTGACTGCGGATGAAATTGAAAAGAAGGGTTATGGAGAAGTGCAGAGATTGATAATGATGGCCAAGAATTTATAAACAGAAAGAAGTAACGGTTGAGCAAAAAACTGGCCGGAAAAGAACGTGATGACAGATCGTGAGAAAACTTGCTAACATCGTGGGAAGTTTTTATTGTTATCATCGGGAATCCAAGGCCAGAAAATTTAAGAAAAACATTTGTCATTTTATATGGACAAATAAGCCCCTAGGGTTACAAATATTTCACAAAATGGGTCTAGGGTTTCGGGGCAAAACCTTTCTTTTATATATAAAGATCCCTATTATATAACTTTTTTTTTATCAAACTGACCCCTACAACTTCACCATTTAGGGGGTGGGGTGTGTGGTAAAAAAAAATGCAATATAAGATGGTTTTTAATTTGCTAATATCAATCACAAGGGCATCTTTTCAATAATTCGATATAATAATTTTCCCGAATAGCAGATCGGAGTTAACAATTTTAGAATTAAAAACTGTTTTTTTCGTCGAACTTAAAAACTAATCCCAATTGTGTTCCAAAGAAAGAAAGCAATTGGAACTTGGAATGTGAAAAAAAAAATGTTCCAAATTCGAAATTTCTCGGACCGGAATCGAATGAATTCGAAATTTCAATTCTTTAGTTCCATATAATATATAATACATAATAATATTGGTTTTATATGTATAATTTTTGGAAGAAACCAGAATTTTCGTAAATTAAACTGGAACGAGACCGGAATCTAATGTGTATCCTACCTTCGTGAAAAAAAATAGAATCTAATACGTACTCCAATCCCATTACCAAAAAAAAAATGGAAAAATTGAAAACCGGAACTTTCAGAATTCGAAATGAAAAATATTATTCACCTGTATATAAATGTAAATGTATATATGTGTAATTGTATTGATCAAATGTGCAAAATTGTCGGGCATATTTGATCACGTGTAGCATCAACTAATCGACTAAGTTTATTTCCCGAATATTAGAAGGCAGAGATCGATATGGTTAACAATTTTATCGGTCTTAATGCTCTGCTTTTGCGTAACTTCAGGCTTCAACTTCTAATGCACAAAAGAAAAACAACGTGAAAATTAATTCCGCTCGTTAAATTCGTGCGGTAAAAAAGAAAAATACACAAAAAGAGTTACCTGATACCATCTTCCCTAATAATTCCTCGGCACGATCAATAGAAGTGCCCTCTGCACTTTGTCGATCCACACAGGCACTTCTTCTTTCTTTCGTCTCGTTGTTTCTCATGCCGAACCATCTCATAATCATACGTCAACTCCTGCATGGGAGGGATATGTCTAATAGCAAAAAAGGCAACATGCACATACGAATCGCTGTTGCTCTCACGTAAAACGGGCCGCCACATCACATTCGGACAACAACTATGGTTCAAGAAACGAGCCACATTCCCATTCTCTTTGGCACTGATAACAAGGGCAAAAGGGTCTTTTCCCAAACCACCGGAACCATCACCACGCACACAAGTAGCGTCGAAAATATAATCGTCATCAATTTCATTCCCGAAACCGTTTTCCGTAAACCCCTCGATAACATCCCCTGCATATTCACATATAAACCCTCCCGCACGAATCGGATCTAAAGACCTAAGACCCCAACCTTTATTCTTCGTCTTAAATACCTCAAAACGAACCTTCACACCTATCTGCGACATACGATTCCTACAGTTTGGAGGACACGAACAAGTGAATCCACACTCGTGTATCAACCATTTGTTCGGCGGGTTCAGAAGAACCCCAATCGACGAATAAGGGGCAAAACCATCATTTTTTCGATTGCAAGGACAGCTTGCGTCACCTGGCTGACAACCCCCCGAGCAACGACATCCCGAATAAGGTTTCGATGTCTGAAAAGGTTTAGCGTATCTAAGGCTACGAACGTACGTGAAATGTGCGGGGCCCATTTCACCGTCAACGTCGTTCACCAAAGCGACAGGCTGGCACTCGCCAACGAGACCAGCCCGGAGGGCATTTCCGTCTTTTTTCCGAATCGATTCCCACAAGGAGAAACCCTCCGGCTGGCCAGGCACCCTCACAAGCTTATACTTGAAAACACTGAATCCAGATTTAATTTTTTCAGTCCACGAATCTTGAATTTGGTACAAGCCATCGTAAACGTAAATCTTACCGTTCGAGCCATCGGTTTTATCTTTTACGCCCCTTATAACTCTCACTTCATTGCCTCGATGGAAGCTATTTACGAGAGCTAGGTTTCCTCCTTCGAGCTTTTGATCGAACACTTGACCGTCCCTTCTTTGCACACCGCCCTGCCCCGTGTACATCAACACATCTTCATTGTCGTTATCGTTGTCATCGTACCCTCCGGAAGAGACTATACTCACTGCCATAGATTCTCCGTTCACTGCCGTAGTGTAATCTATACCTCCCATAGTGTGACCGTGCAGTCCGACTATACACAGCTCCATTCTAAAGAAGAATATATCCCCAACTTTAACCCCCGGAATATTCCCGATTCTCTTTGTGCTATTCGCTCGGATTCCTTTGGAAATTAAAGCAGCACCGGCTTTCAAGTCGGGGCGTCTGAGTGACAACTGCTTCGATTCTTCGAGTTGGGTGAGATGTCGGCGAATGGAATCGTACACGAAGAGTACGGTTCCGACTATACCCCTGTCATTGTTGCGCCTTTTGAATTCTTCGAAATCGTGAAGGTTGAACGATTTCAAGAAGGTGTTAATAACCGCATTGGCACCAAAATCATCTTCGACATTCTCGGGTTTTTCCCTAGGTGGACGACCCCTACGCTTGCCCAAATTACTAACGGCACACACGTCCCGGTCCTTGCTAAACTCACTACCGCAACGGTCGAGCGCGGCATCCTTAAGGGGGCCGTTGCCCCCATAATTGGGTTGGGGTGTTTGGGCAACAATTGTGGATTTTTGAGTGGTGTTTGGAGCTAGAAAGGGGTAAAACGGTCCGACTTCGGGTGGTGAATTTGGGAAAATTGGGACAATAAATTTCAATGGCTTCACATCCAAAACCCTAGATTTATCAATTGAATCAAAAGGAGTATTTGAATTTGAATTGAAACCCAAACCTTGCTCCATTGAACTGTACAGAAATTATCAGCAGATCCCTAAATCTTGGTTGAAGCCTAAAAACCCTAATTGAAAAAAAAAATTGATTGGAAAACCGAAGTAAAATTGAAATAAACACACATGCAACGCTACAAAAGGTAAGAACTAAGAACCCGTTAATACGAAATTGAAGAAAAATATTTATAAATAAATTAAAAAAAAAAAAAAACAAATCTTCAGTATATTACAGTATGGCAAAACTTCAAGAATAAGAAACAAACAAAATTTCAGGTGTAAAAGTACCTCCTAGATTGATGGAGTCTTTCCTATGAGTTTGCGACAATGGTGTTTCGAAAGTACAACGTACGAGGTTGTCAATTTATTTTTTATGTTTTTTTTTACATTATTTAAAGGGTTTATTAGGGATAACATTTGTTCAGATTTTCTATTGAGGTAGATCTTATTAATTTTTTTTCTTTTTGAGATACAACCAAATATGCTAACTTGGCACAATATATTATTTGATCTTCCTTTAATACCCCTGTTTGATTTTTAAACGGTATTTATTTCCTCTACAAAACCCTATTTCTCCATTTAGTTTTTCAGGCGAAAGAGTGCCGCCACCGGGTTCGCCGCTTCCACCTCCGACCACCGCACCGCTGTCGCCTCCTCCATCAGCGTCCCCGCCAATAACCGTTACCGCCTCTTCTATCATCGGCGCTGGCTCTTCTCCCATCACCACCAAAGTCATCACCAGAACCTCCACCAAAGCCATAAGCAACACCTCCACCACCATCTAGTCCTCCACCACCACCACATCCGACCACCTCCACCTCCAAGACCGCCAAAATCGATCAAGAACTCCGTCGCTCCCGCCTCCAAGGTCGTAACAATCAATTTAGGAGTGATATCGTCGTTGGCCGCCGCCGTCACTGCTCCAATCTAGGGTGTTACTCAAATCTAGGATTACTCAAATCTAGGGTTTTGATAATTTTTCGGCCCAAAGTTGATTAACAAGATGCATAGTCGAATTACATCTGTATTAATCGACTATCAGTGTTAAATTAATAGACTATCAATGCCAAAATTAATAGAATATCAATGTTCATTTGTGTTTTAATATTAATAGAATATCCTATATCATTTAATAGACTATCCCACTGATATAATTCGACTATGGATCTCGTTAATCGACTATGGGCCGAAGAATCATCAAAACCCTAGATTTGAGAAGTGACGGCGACGGATATATGTTTTAATATCAATAGACTATCCCGTATCATTTAATAGACTATCCCATAGATCTAATTCGACCATGGATCTCGTTAATCGACTATGAGACGAAAATTTGGGCCGAAGAATCATCAAAACCCTAGATCTGAGAAGTGACGGTGGAGGATTTGTGTTTTAATATTAATAGACTATCCCATATCATTTAATATACTATCCCATAGATCTAATTCGACTATGAATCTCGTTCATCGACTATGGGCCGAAAAATCATCAAAACCCTATATCTGAGAAGTGACGGCGGCGGCCGCCGGTGGCCAACGACGATAACAACGACATTGGGCATTTAAGTTACTTGGCTTCACTCTTAAATCGAGTGTCGCACCCTTGGAGGCGGAGGTGGTGTCGGTCGAGGTCTAGGTGGAGGTGACGATCTTGGAGGCGGAGGTGGTGGCGGTGGAGGTGCTGGTGGCGGCGCAAGTGCAGATGGTGACCTCGATGCTGGAGTTTTAGGTGGAGATGGAGGTGATTTTTGGGATTTGATTGAGGGTAATGATGGAATTTAGAAAAATATGTGTTTTTATCAAAATGACAAATTTGAGTTTGGATCTATCCCTATTTTTTGTAAGATTAAGGGGGTTATATCTAATAGACCCTTATTTAAATATTTAATATAGTGTCTCCTAATCTCCTATGACATTATTTAATATTTAATACATAATAAATAGCTTATCACAAACCTAATTAAAAATTAGCAAATTTAAATAGTATGATTTATTAAGAGTAAAAAGCAGTTTGCCCCCTAAATTATGACTCGTTTTGCGCTTTGCCCCCCAAACAATTTTTTTTTGCACGTTCTTACCTAAACTCGATTTTTTGTTGCACGGTGCCCTAAAAGTGGTATTTTCCGGCAAATGTCACCGGAATCTCACGCACGTGCCATTCACGTGAGATTTGGAGGGGTAAATTTGTCTTTTTACTTTTATTATTGTCTGACTTTAATTTTTTCTTCTCTTTTTCATTTTGGTCATCTTCCCCAACCGTCTTCTTCCCCACCTCACTCTGGTTCAAATCCATCTCCAAAGCCCTTTGTGCACCAATTTCTAGACAAAACAAATTTCAACAATCAAAACTAATCATAAATCATCTCGACATTTTCCCTAAACACAGGGCTAACGAGTGGATTTTCGGACGACGAAAATGGGTCGAAAAAATCATCGAATAAACCCACCATAGCCTCTTCCATCCCTATTCGTATCTCCCCTTCTACCACCACTTCCACGGCGGCGTAGGGAAGAGTAACCATGAACATCCAAAGCAGCAATAAGCTTTGCCGTCTCATCCAATTACATCGAACACTGAGCAAGAACTCGACGACGCCGATTTCACCTTCGATTTCAATCGCCAATTGGAGAGAAGCTCGTTGCCCGCCGACAAACTTTTTAACAACTACAAAATCAAGCCATTAAAGACACACCCAATGTTTCACTACAATCAAAACAAGCCCAAAAAAATTATCGAAATCCCCAATTTTCATCGGAGAAGCATTCTCCCCCGAAACAATTGGGCCAAATATTTCGACCTATTTCTCACAGCCATGGATTATACATGTAAAGGAAAACGTCAAGAAAACAGGTGGTGACGGAAAGAGAGAATGGCAGGAGTGGAGGCGGTGGCAGGGGAAGAAAGATTTTCTGGCTGGGATGGGTTTGGGAGGAGTGCTGGGCCGACGGGATGAAGATATGATACTTTCTTTTTTGTTTTATTTTTGTTTTTTGTGTTTTTTTGTTTTTTAATGATTAATTCATAATTAATATATAGAATATAAGTGAAGTGACGAATTTATCCCTGCAAATATCACGTGCAACGCACGTGTTTTAACATTCCGATCAAAATTGCCGGAAACTTTAGTTTAGGGGGCACCGTACAACGAATTAACGAGTTTAGGTAAAAATGTGCAAAAAAATTTTGTTTGGGGGGCAAAGTGCAAAACGGCCCATAGTTTCGGGGGTAATCTGCTTTTTACTCATTTATTAATTATGACTAATAATATCCGAATTTACGTGGGCTACGTACTAGGAGGTAGACCAACAACCCTCGAGACTTGATCAGAGTAAAATACAAATTAACATTGATACCACAAGTGTAATGCAAGATCGGACGCATCGAATCGGAATTAACACTTTCAGAAAAGAAACGAAAATAAATCTGAAAGTGAATAACTAATTTCAATTATGTTCAAAAAAATTGGAAATCGAAAATTGAAGTTGAAAAAACTTGTTCAAAAGTTAAAGTTTAGCGATGATCGGAATTTTCATTTTCTTATTCGCCTACAATATAAAATGCATAGTATAAAATTTATATTATTTAAGTGTAATTTTTCGAACCATTTGAAATTCTTGGAACAACCATTCTTGGAATTGAAATTTGAAATAGAAAATTTTGATTTAGAATCGAAAATATTTGGATCAAAATCGACAGATTCCGAAATTTAGAAATTTAGCAGAACAGCACCAGCATTAGCACAATTCTTTTATATTGAGACATTTGAGTGTCTTTGGCCAAACTTATAAGATATTTAAGAGCTTATAAGCTCTTCTAAAGTATTCGGTAATTGTTTTTAAAAAAATATTAAAAATTCAAAAAGTAAGCTACTCGCTAGGAAATAAAATATTTTTTAAAAATACATTTAATTTACTCCACATTTTTTATTTAAGATCTTATAATAAGCAAAAAATAGCTTATAAGCTCATTATCGAAACACTTTAAAAATTATTAAAAATAAGACATAACAACTTATCAGCTCTTAAAACATTTGAATCAAATGTAGGAGCTTATAAGTTGTTTAAAATAAATTTAACCAAACGAGACCTAAATTTTCTGAATTTTTATAATTATTTATCTTGCAGCAGAAGAGTTCTATGTATGTACATTTCTTGTGGCTTTGTATTCGTTTTATGTTTTTATCATAAATGATAAAGATGGAACTTGACTTAAATGAAAGAAAATGAGGAAAATTGACACCTACATTAATTATTGAATATATCCATCTTAGAATATAGATATAAAACTCCTTTATTCATAAATGAGAATTTTATTTTTTATGTTTAAAATAGTTTGTATTAATTAAAACTAGTATTGGTTAAATACTCTTTTTTTAATGGTCAACTTCATTATTAATGCAACACAAATACTTGAATTACGGCCAACTAGCATTTTCCCCGTGCGTGCAATGCATGCAAGTGTATAAATCAATTTGAGTCGAATTGATAGTATATTTGTTCAATTCAAGGTGTAACCTGGTCTGATAAACAATTGAGTCGAGTGCAAATGAGCTTTAAACAAATCGAACACGAATCCAGATTGAGTAGTCTCTTTTCGAACAATTCCTTTTCGTAATCGAGATTTTAAAGAATAATCTTGAAATCGAGTAAAATTGATTTAACTTTCAGCCCTAATTACAATTTGATTTTGCAACTTATCCCCAAAGGCAAAGAGCTTGTCGAAAAGCCAAAAGCAGCAAAAAAAAAAAGCTGTTTACGTTAAGGCAAAGATAAGATCAAAATCTTGGACCCTCTTTTGCCTCTCAGTGTTTGTGCCTTCAAGCAATAAACACACACACACACACACACTCTCTCTCTCTCACACACACACAATTGATTGTGTTTGCCAACAAATTTTAAATTGTGAAAAAGTGATTAATGATAAGCAGAAGCAACCACACTCTGATCTCACTATATAACTGCCCCTCTCTCTCTCTCTCTCTCTCTCTCATCACATGACCAAATCTCTCTACAAGACTGCGCGAGTGCTGCTTTCTCTCTCACACACTTCACACAGTAAAAATACCCAAAAATTGGGGGAGCCCATTTTCAGGTGAATTACTGTTGCCCTTCTAAAAAGAAATAATCTTTATTTTATTTACTGAATAAAGTTTTAATCTTTTTCTCTCTGTTAGTCATATTTTACTGCAATTTGCAATGGGGGTTAATCGCTGAGTATTTACCACCAGATTTTGTGCTGTTAATTTTGTTGGTAAAAAGTAAAACCCTTTGTTGGCTGATTTTAATTTCAGCCCTAATTAACAGCTGCTTAATTCAGCTGTTACTTTATTTATTTTTGGTAGGTTTTTTTTTTTTTTTTTCTGAACATATGAGAAATTATAGATACAATGTGAAAGAAAAGAACAGCCCATTGATAAAAATAAAAAAATCCCCTCGAAAAATCGAAAACGGATAAGATTGTCGAATGCCGTTGGACGACGTCATACATGAATGTGATGACTTAAAGGGATGATCAATTTTTCGCCTTTCGGTTTATTCTTGTTTTGCAGTGAAACTGATTCATTGCATACGAAACCGAAACCGAAACCGAAACCAAACACGAAGTTCGAGAATCTATATTTTTTTTTTCGGAGACATGCAAATTTTCAAGAATGTTAGTTTATTAGAAAACTCCGGTGAAACGATCTAGCTTCGTTAATTTATTTATTGCAAAATAATTTTATTCTTTGAAATCTTTCGGGACGGTCCACATGTCGATAAGTCATTACATCACATAACAACCGATCAAATGTTTGTAAGTATTGATCTCTTAATGGTTAAAAAGATGAGATTGCTTTCAGACAAAGAATTATACTTCGATCGGTTGTAAATAACGATTTTGTATAATTTAGTAATCCCAATTGGTAAATCTAGTCGAGATGAGTGCTTATGTTCTTGTTGTTGTCAACAAAGTCTTACGATAAGATTAAGTTGTTGTAAAAGATAGATTTTTTTTTTGTCATCTTCCGTTTACTGACAAAAGATAACTGAATTAGCGTTTTTCGTATGTTGTTAAATAGGCTGCACAAACAGTGGATACATTACGGGAAAAAATGGGTGCAATTAATTTGTCGAAGAGCGTTCTGCTTTTCTTCTTCGTTGTGCTGAGTGCTGTGTATCGATCTTCTTCTGCTACTGGGGTTGAAGCAAACCAGACTGTTTCGCTTGTCATAAATGCATCCGAAACATCGACAAAATATATACCGAAAACCTTGTTCGGTGTCTTTTTCGAGGTGAGATTAGTTAAAGACGATGAGTTTCTCCGTGAATTTCATCCATGTCATTTTTTACTTCTCGTAGCACTAGAATCGTCGTACTTTTCGGCTACCCTCTCTCTCTCTCTCTCTCTCTCTCTCTCTCTCTCTCTCTCACACACACACACACATACATATAAGCCTACAGTATGAAAATCTTTGAGATATCTGCAGGAGATTAATCATGCTGGAGCTGGAGGATTATGGGCAGAGCTTGTTAACAACCGAGGTTAGCTGGAATATTCTCGTATTTTCCTTAGATAATACGTGTCTTAGTTTTTCCATAAATACTCATAATTCACCTTTCTACGAGAGTTACAGAAATTATAATCTATTGAAACGATCCTTCTGACAATTAAAATTGCAACCTGAGACTTCCGAGTCTTTTTATCGCCCAATTTCATTTTTCTTCGACTTTTTTCTGTTCTTGAATCTGGAATCATTTGTGTGTTTTAAAATAAAATTAATATGAATTTTTAAAATAAAATTAATATGAATTTTTAAATGCAGGTTTTGAAGCTGGGGGTCCCAATACACCCTCGAATATCGCTCCTTGGTCCGTAATCGGAAATGAATCATCTTTAATCATATCAACCGAACGTTCTTCGCGCTTCGATCGAAATAAAATTGCATTACGAATGGATGTGCTTTGCAATCACGAAGGGAGCAACACGTGTCCACCTGGCGGTGTTGGTATTTATAACCCCGGCTTCTGGGGAATGGTAAAATTTTATTTAACTGATTAGTTATTGTAATATTACTTAACAAAGAGTGAATTTTTAGCTGATTATTTGTCTTGCAGAATATCGAACAAGGAAAGACCTATAAATTGGTTCTCTATGCTCGTTCACTAGGGCCGATCAATGTGTCTGTTTCCCTGACTGGATCAACTGGATCGACACTGGCTACTGCTAACATCGTGTAACAATCGATAACACATAATTTACATATTAAAAAAAAAATATATCAAATTTTAGACTAACGTATGTTGTTATTACAGAGAGTCTGATGTTTCGAACTGGACTAAGATTGAGCTAACTCTGCAAGCAAAAGGAACTGACGCAAACTCGAAACTTCAACTGACGACGACTAGAAAAGGTGTCGTATGGTTCGATCAAGTGTCGTTAATGCCCACAGATACATACAAGGTAAATGTGAATTGATATTTGATTTTTTATATTACATGCATAGAAGTTTTAATGTAATAAAGAATATATATATATATAAGTATTTTAAAGTATATCAAATGCTATTCTCTTGGGACAGGGACACGGGTTCCGCAAAGATCTTTTTGAGATGGTGAAGAATTTGAAACCGGGATTTATTAGATTTCCAGGTACGACTAACAAAATTAGATGTGAACATAATTTTGGTGGCAAAGATTCGACTATTTGCATTCGAGTAATATTCTTGAATTTTTTTAATATAATATTAAACACTTAATCTAACATGCATGCATGGATGATGTCATCGGTGATGTCAGGTGGTTGTTTCGTGGAAGGGGAATGGTTAAGAAACGCGTTTCGATGGAAAGAAACTGTCGGGCCGTGGGAAGAGAGGCCAGGTCATTTTGGTGATGTTTGGCATTATTGGACCGATGATGGACTCGGTCATTTTGAGTTTCTTCAGGTTTTATTTTTATTTTTATTTTTTTATATATATATAGAAAATATATAAAGAGTACTAGGGTTCGTTATTGTATATATTTATTTATATTTTTCCATCTTGTAATCACTTATTCAGCTTGCTGAGGATTTGGAGGCAGAACCTATATGGGTGTTCAACAACGGTACTGTTTTTTTATCCTATCTTATTTTTTCGATATATTCCCTCGATATTTGCTTATTGATTTTCGCTCGTTTTTGTGACGGTCTTATTAATTTTAATTTTTTTCAGGAGTCAGCCACAATGATGAAGTCGACACTTCCAGCATCCAACCTTTCGTACAAGTACTTGGTTAAATATTATTTTATTTTATTGCAGCCAATGCTACACATATCTAACTTATGCCAAATACCACGATTTTATTTTATTTCATTTTATATTATTGCAGGAAGCTTTGGATGGTATTGAATTTGCGAGAGGCGATGCTAAGTCAAAATGGGGTTCCGTTCGAGCGGCAATGGGCCACCCAGAACCCTTTGATTTGAAATATGTTGCTGTCGGAAACGAGGATTGTGGAAAGAAATATTATCTCGGTACGAGACTTTTTTTTTTTTTTTTTTTAATTGAGGTATTTATTTTCATAACCTTTTGTGACATTTTGTTACTCTGTGGTGATCTAGGGAACTACCTCGAGTTCTACTCTGCTATACAACGTGAATATCCAGACATCAAATTAATATCAAATTGTGACGGTTCTTCTCGACCGTTGGATCATCCAGCTCACATTTATGATTATCATGTAAGAAGTTTAATTCTCTTAATAAAGTACTTTTTTTTTTATACTCAGCATGATATCTAATATCGTATAATAATTAATTAGTTTTGCCTTCATGCTACTACTAGATTTATAGCAGCGCAAATAATGTGTTTGCAGCGGCCCAAAAATTCGACCGAGCATCGCGAACTGGTCCAAAGGTTTGCTATGTACAGTCGCTTACAAAAATAATAATAATAAAATTAGAAATAAAAATAAAAGAGTAAATAAAAATGGTGCAGGCTTTTGTGAGTGAATATGCTGTCCATGGAAGTGATGCTGGTACAGGTAGTCTTTTAGCAGCTCTCGCCGAAGCTGGATTTCTTATCGGGCTCGAAAAGAACTGGTATTTTTCCGATTTTTTTTTTTAATTATTTACTGTATGATATATTTTTCAAGTTTTATTTTTTATTTTAATCCTTCTTATTTGTACAGCGACGCAGTCGAGATGGCAAGTTACGCACCTTTGTTTGTGAATACGAATGACAGAACGTACGTATAACCCCTCTCTCTCTCTCTCTCTCTCTCTCTCTCTCTCTCTCTCTCTCTCTCTCTCTCTCTCTCTCTCTCACACACACACACACAAATAATATTCTTATTACAGGTGGAATCCAGATGCGATTGTATTCGACTCTTCACAAATGTACGGAACTCCAAGTTATTGGATGCAGCATTTCTTTAAAGAGTCGAACGGTGCAACGCTACTTAATGCAACCCTTCAATCGAACCCGTCTAATTCTCTAATTGCTTCTGCTATTTCTTGGAAAGATACAGACAACAAAAACCACCTGAAAATAAAGGTAAATGTTTTCGAACTTCTTTAACATAATAATCGTAATATTATAATTTATAAACACATTTTTTTAATGAATATCGCCAGGTGGTGAATTTCGGGAGCAGTAGTGTGGCTCTTCAACTATCTATCCAAGGGTTGGAAGTCAACTCGTTACAATCGTTCGGGTCGAAAAAGATCGAGTTGACATCCGCTGATGTCATGGACGAAAACTCTTTCCAAGTTCCCAATAAGGTAACTCTCCATTTATAATCGAAAAAAATATACTCTTTTTTTTTGAATTAATTAATTAATTAATTTTTTTTGTTAACCTAGGTGGTCCCGGTGAGTAGTGAGCTGGACGATGTTGGTGAGGAAATGGACGTTGTGCTTTCGCCTCATTCGTTTACGTCGATTGACTTGTTAATAAACTCGAACAATGTCGGGCTTGTTGGACCTGCTTCTTATGTTGATAAATCCTCCTACTATAAGGATATAAAAATGTATTAGAAACTAATCTGTTTTTAATAAAATGGGGGAATATATATATATATATATATATATATATATATATATATATATATATATATATATATATATATAATTAGTTCTATGTAATTATGTACAGGGCTGCTAGCCGTTAAACAAACATGTCACTACTGATAACTTTGAATCTATGATTATGATAAATAATCTCTGATGGGAAAAATATAGTTTTAATCCTTCAAATTTGCACTGATTTCACACGTGGTCTCTCGTGTTCATAAAAAAACATATTTGATTCTTCGTGTTTCAAAAATTCAACAATTTTAGTCCTTTACGTTAATTTTTCGTTAGTTCTAATGGAATCACGCATGTGCCCGTCACTGCATTAACTGACGAATTAATGGTAAATTGACGGAAATGACCAAAAGTGTTCAATTGTTGAAACATGAGGGACTAAATGTGGTTTTTGTGAACATTGGGGACCAAATATGAAATTAGTGAAAATTTGAGGGATGAAAACTGTAATTTTTCTAACCTTTGATTTTATATTTGTTGTTTATTCCTTTTTTACTACTCTTCGATTTTGTTTTTGAAATCTTTTTCCTTTGTACTGCTTTGAGACTCTGCGTACTGTGGTCAAATGCCGACATTCACAGTTGACTTTAACCCTCTGATGGTACCTTCACCGGCTACCATTGGATTGAGTCCGATATGTACGAGGAGAATAGAGTGGTGGCGGTTAAGACACGTATAAATAAGCTAAACTCGACCTAAAATTCAAAATCCTTCTTTTGTGCGAGATTCGGGATTGTTTGGTGAGTATTGAGCTCGTGCGATTGAATTTGTGCTTCCTTTGTAGGTTTCCGAGTAAATCTGAAAGAGAGAGTGAGTGAGTTAGGAGAATGGTTCTTGTTTGAGTGAGTGAGTAAATCTGAGCGAACGAGTGGTGTTGGTGGATTCCTTAGTGTTTTATTTACTATATGAACAGTGATTATGGATCGTTCTTCGTTCCATTATCAAATTTAAATACAATATTAGTAGACGAGCAAAATACACACGAAAATCAATCAACTCATAAATTATTAGGAAAAATTCCGGCAACTCCTAAGGTAAAGTCAAATCACAAAAAACCACCTCATGTTTGAATAATTACAATTATTCCATCAACTATGTATTGTCTTACATGTTTATCATTACGGTGTCAAATTTACCTATTAAATAAAGATTCTTCCATAAGAGAATACATGGTTGAGAGAATAATTGTAATTACTCAAACAATATGGATTTTTTAGTAATTTCACTTTATCTCAGGTGTTGACCGTAATTTGCCGAAATTATTATTGTAGGCTAATTTCAAAGCTATTGTAGTAGGCCGTAACTAGCTTACTTATTGGGCCAATAATTGGGTCAAAGCCCTTTAAAGAAAAACTTCTATTGTTGTATTCTTAGCTAGCTATATTTTATTTATTTGTTTTTGAAAAATATTTTAATAATTATTTAAAAGAGCTATGGTAAAATATTACATGTATAATTAAAGAAAATCTAAATAAAAATAAATCTAATATGAATATCATCTACATTTATGAATTGTGTGGTTGTGGATTTTTACCACTTTAACCTTGTGAAAGCATCTTATTCTCTTTCTATCTTGCCATTCTTTTTCAAGTGGTAGAAAGATATTTGCTTTATGACCTAATTTTATCACTTCATTTAATTCAGCAGATTGTCTTTTTTCAAATGTGCTCTCTCTTCACGAGAATTGTTATGGAAAAATTACGGTCACCCTTGAAGTAATTAAGATCAAATTACGAAAAATTTTTTATATTTGGATAATTGTAATAAACTCATCAACCATGAATTTTCGTACACGTTTATTCTTACGATGTCAAATTTAGTGCAATCTTCTAGATCATGGGCAATATTCTTCAGTTTGTACCCGTTTTACCCCACTCGACATCCACATTTGGAAACAAGATGATCATTACACGTGTCTCTTGGCTTGTAAATATCAGATTGTGGTGCATCAGAAACTGCATTATTGCACAAAACGAGTACAAATTAGAGAACATTTCACGTAATCTAGAAGATTCTATTTAATTTGACATCATAAAGTGGACGCATAAGAAACTTCATAATTGAATAACGGTTACAATTATCGAAACAATAGGGGTATTATCGTCATTTACTTTACCTAATTGAATAACGGTTACAATTACCGAAACAATAGGGGAATTATCGTCGTTTACTTTACCTCAAAGGATTGACCGTAATTTACCCGATTGTTATTAAAAACATAACTAAAAAGTCAAGCCAATTTTATAATAGAATCCAAATTCAAAAAAAAAGTGCATAAAATAGAAAAGGAAAAAAATTTAAACACCATTTTCCCATAAATATAATTCATTCTTTCTTTAAATTTCCCTCCTTCGAAAGAAGATTTGTAATCAGTATTTATGTGTACGAGGATTTAGGTTTGTCTACATGTCTTGTAGTCAAACCCCTTTGTAAATTGTGTGAACAATTACACACCCACCCACCCCCACCCACACCCTACCCACCCCCCCACCAAGTGGGCCCCACCACTAAACACATTTCCAATTTCTTCCTCCGTTCCCAACAAGTTCCTCCACCACTCTTCACTCTCTCGAGCCAAGAACTCAACTCTGAAATAATCTTGTTTTTTTTTTTTTCTTCTCACTAGAAAACGATGAATCAAGAATTCCCCCGCCGGCCTCTACTCGCCGGCGCCGATGTGGGTTCCACCGGAAACTCCATGACCACCTTTTTCGCCAACCCTTTCGCCGGAATATCCTCCAACTTCAACCGCCGGAGAATCTTGACAGACGGCGGTGGCGCCGGCGGCGGAGGTGATCCGGCAGCTCCGGTGAGCAGGGACTGCGGCTACTCGAGGCCGTTTTTGTTTCTAGACATGATTTGGAACATGGCGTTCGTTGTGGTTTCTGTTTTTGTGCTGTTGGTAACTGTTGAAGAAAGGCCTCTCACTCCTCTTCGGCTGTGGGTTTGTGGCTATGCTTTGCAGTCTCTTCTGCATGTTGGATTTGTGTGGGATGAGTATCAAACCCGGAATCTCGACGAATACGCCGACGACGACGATGAAGATGATAGCGGCGGTGGTGGTGGTGGTGGTGGTCAAGATTTTCATTTTCAAAGGGTGTCTTCATTTTCAGGCCTCTTTCAGAAAAGGTAATAATTTTTTTTACTTTTTTTTAGATTGGTTGGTGAAATTTTGTGGTTTTGAATCTCTTTTTCAAAAGGGTAAGTTCCGGCCGGCCAGCCCTGAGGTTAAAATTACAAAAAAGTCCCTCGTGTTTGGGTAATTATAATCATCCATCAACTATGAATCTTCTTACACGTTCATTTTTATGGTGTCAAATTTAGTAAAATCTTCTAGAGTAAAATCTTCTAGGTTTATCTGTAATATTCTCCAATTTGTTCATGTTTTACCCCATTCGAGCTCCACATGATTTTGTAATAAGATAATCATAAGATGTGTCTCTTGGCTTGTAAATATCAGATTACGGTGCATTTTTTCACAAACAAGTACAAATTAGAGACCATTCCGCATAATCCGTTGAATTTGACATCATAAGAGTTGATGTGGGTTAATGTGTAAGAAGATTCGTAGTTGAGAGAGGTGGTTATGATTACACAAACATGAGGGGTTTTTCCGTAATTTCACCTTACCTTAGGGTGGCTGTAATTTACCATTTTTTATTAAATAATGTTGCTATCCGGCGTTTATTAGGTAGAAAATGACATATTGGCGAAATCTGCAAAGTGTTGACTTCTAATATTTTCCCTTAATTTATGTTCTATCAATTAATTTATAGGAATAGGTTCTAAATGATTGAAGAAATGTTACTTATTTGTTATTGATTCTTTATTTGATGAAGAAGCAGAATTTATCGGTGTTAGTATATTTGCTAAGAGTAATATCGATAGTTAACCTTTCGATAAGAGTAGAAACTGTGAGTTTGTAAAATCGGATTGTGATTAGCTGTTATAGAACAAAGAAACTGAATTAATACGAGGTTGAACGACGAGCTACTAAAAGACGCCTAGATAAAATTGTATATGTTAAGAATTTTTTTCCGGTGTTTTCGGATTAATGAATTTCGTATCACTGAACATGGCATGTTGAAAGATCGGAAACTAGTGTTCGAAACCGTTGATTCTATCTCGTCTTTTTTTTTTTGTGATCCCATTTTCAGCATAATCAAGAAGTTGGAGTCGATTAATAGTATCGTTTCATCGGTGTGGTGGGTTTTCGGATTTTATTGGGTAGTCATCGGCGGCCAACCTCTTCTTCAAGAATCTCCTCGTCTTTACTGGTATATTCTGTGCTTCGTCATTCCAAAAAACGAAAGAAAATTAATCTCTCTCTCTCTCTCTCTAAAAAACGGGATTCCTCTTAACGGCAGGTTATCGGTGGTCTTTCTAGCGTTCGACGTATTTTTCATGATCTTCTGCATTGCAATGGCGTGCGTTGTTTTCTTCCTACTGTTCTGCTGTTTCCCAATCTTAGCTACAGTTGCCTACGCCATGACTATTAAAGATGGAGCCTCCGAAAACGATATACGACTCCTCCCAAAATATTTCTACCGGCACCAAAATACTCTACCCTCGTTCCATAATAACAACAAAAAAGAAGAATTCATTTCAAGCGCAGTTCCTGCCAATAGCAATTCCAAACCCGAGCTCGTTCTTCATCCAGATGATTCTGTAAGTATCTATCGTATTTATTGTTTCTAGAAACTCCCGGGAGTAAAATAATCTAATGTTCGACCCTTTTTTTTTTCTGGGTTTTTTTTTTTTTCGTTTCGTTTTTTTAATTATTATCTTGCAGGAATGTTGTATATGCCTCTACAAATATGTAGATGGAGCCGAGCTCTGTGCACTTCCGTGCAACCACCATTTCCACCATATATGCATTACGAAGTGGCTCCGTATAAACGCCACCTGTCCGCTTTGCAAATTCAACATTCTCAGAGGCGGCGACATGTTGGTTTAAACCGTTCGATCCCAACTAATATACATAGAGAGAGAGGAAAAAAAAAAAAAAAGAATACGCGCGCGCGCCCTCGTTTTTTCTTGCTAATGTACAGTGGCGAAAATCGGCGAATCCGAAGAGCAGTTGAGTTGTTTATAAGGTAGTCTTGGATTGAGGTTTCTTTGATGTAAGAACACTCTCTGCATATTTGACTTTAATAATTTGTAGCTTTGATTGTGGTTATATTGTAAGGGGTGTTTTAGTCATTAATTATAATAGTAAAAGAAATCAGTGAGATTGAATACAAGTGGACATTCGTCTTAGCACATAGTTTAGTGGTCCACTAAGTGTGATTAGTGGTTTAAATTTGGTCAAATTGCAATGTTAGCAGTTAGCACACATCATTATTGACTTTTTTTTAGTGTTTGATGTTGTAATTACACATAATGTCAAAAGTTGACAACAAAAAATTTCAGAAAGTACATTTAAACCTCTATAAATCAATACTGTTGGATCTAGTAAAATTTTATTAATTTATCGAATTATTAAATTATAAAATTAATAAATTAGTGTGTTTTACCGAGTCGGGATCGGAAGAAAGTATTATTTAAGCGATGCTATTAATTTGTCGAGGTAGGTACGTTGTATTTTCAATAGGGCAAATTCCGGCCACCCCTGAGTTATGGTCAAATTACGAAACCCCCCTCATGTTTGGGTAATTACAGGCACCCCTCAACTATGTATTATCTTACAAAAAAACCCTTCCAGAGGTATATTTATGGATGTTAAATCGGTAAAATTGAACTGAAATTTCAATTCACCAACATTTCATACCGTTTTCCGAGTAGTATATACGATTTGATTCGGTAAATAACCGAATTACATAAAATTTATGTAAAAATATTTAATTTTTTGTAATTACTCAAACAAAAGGGGTTTTTTTGTAATTTGACTATACCTCAGGGGTGGTCGTAATTTGCCATTTTCAATATACACCATCCTTAGTGCATTCACCCTACACTTCAAACAAAATACACCCAAACATTGTTGGGGTTGTCTAGGGTCCGAGAGGAGTTGTACTTCTCGGAGCTAAACGATTGAGGATCAACCAATAAAAATGTGACACGTATGATTAGTACGAACCCCATTAAAAAAGTACGAAACATGGATTACTAATGAAATTACATAAATACCCTTAAAACTAAAACTTAATTAAATAATGACTTTTCAAAAAACAAAATATACAAAATTAATAAGTAAAATATGACAATTGCGTTTCATTAAAAACGTTTTCTCTCCATCGTCTTCTTCGATTAAAAACTAAAAAAAAAAATCCATCGTCTTCTCCTCATCAACATAATAATTTCTTCGGAGGAACCTCATCAACATAATAATTTGAAATAAAATGTTCAAACGAGGTGGGAATCTTGAGAAACAATTCAAGTTAATACTAGAAGAACATAACTTCATAAGCATAAAATGTTCGGTGACTTGTGTTTTCAATTCAATTCAAGAAACTAAAATACTCTAAAGATACACCACTATTGTTGATTTCTCTTCCACCACCATAATTCTCAACAATAAAAACAATATGAGAAAAAGATGAAAAAGAGATTTTCAAATCTGGCTTTACAATCCCGATGGAGATTGAACCATGGCATACGCCATACAGTGTCTCCATGAATAGAGGAGATGAAAGGTTTTGTTCGACGAAAGAAAAGAGATTTCTTTGAAAATAATTGATGAATTTTGATTTTGTTTTACAATCATAATGGATTAATAAAAAATTGTGTGGAAATATTATTTTCTTATATTATTTATAAGGTTAAGATAGTAATTTACAAAGAGTACGATGAGTGTACGATGGTGTACGATGTATTTTTACTGAGTTCGTACCAAAAAATCAATGGATGAGATCAACATTTAAACATTTTGTACGTCCCAGATTCAATCGTTTAGGTCCGAGAAGTACAACCCCTCTCGGACCCTAAACAACCCCAACATTGTTTTAGAACACCATTATTCTTACTCACAAGTTTTACTTATCCCCATTTTTAATGCAATAAAATAAAAAAATTAAATAAAAAATCGATAAAGCCCGAGCTGATTTCAATGATAACAAGATCACCAATACTGCCTCATACAAAATGAAGAGATCCCTATTTGCTTTGTTCATCAAAATAGCAATTTGAAATAACACCGAAGAAATATATAGCAAGGTCGCATTTACATAACAACGAAAACAAATTATGATGTCAAAAGATAGGGAACTTGCAATACACCGTAAGGAAAAAAGAAAAGAAGAAAAAAAACGAGTCAGCAGAGTAACCTGCGAGATATTCTAGAAGGTAGGTACGTTGTTCAAACATTCTTGTTCTTCTTCATTTTGGAAGGGGGCCATCGCCCCTTCTTCCTCAAGTGACGTTTCCTCACGAGCCTCTTTCTCCTGAGCCTAAGTTTCTTGGCCAATTTCATCCTCGTTTTCTGCTCAAGCATTAGCTGAGCCTTTGATTCCAACGGAAGGTTCTCGACTGATACACTTACCTCTTTGTTGTCTGAGGGTACGGTAGGAGGCTCTGAAGGTGTGGAACCTGCGCCGTCAACATCTAAAGATGCCTTAACAATCAATGCACCTCTGTTTTTTAGGACAAATGGTGCTCCGATTCTTGCTCCAAAGTCCGATTTCGGATGGAAAGTAACGGATTTGTTGCACAACCTGAGGACTAAATAACAAAAGATTCATTTGCAAATGGAACCCGGAAAAAATCTACAAATCCATTGGAAGAGATAGCACATAAGAATCAAGAAATGCACATCCATAATCAAGAGCAGACCACATGTTTGCTGAAATACCTCAAAGACACAACACAAGCACGCCACATGTTTGCTGAAATACCTCAAAGAGGTAGCAGCTTCGGAAAGATTAATTCATTATCAAGAATGAGGATCGTGGGTTAAAACAACTAAACGAGTTGGTTTTATATGATTCTCAGATTTTCTTAAGAATTGGAACACTAAAATCAAGAAATGCACATCCATAATCAAGAGGCAGACCACATGTTTGCTGAAATGCCTCAAAGAACATACCCCCAAAAGTACAGCAGTAATTCCATCCAAAGCAATTGCTAGTGTACAGTGTACTAACAAATTCAAGTAAAAAAACACAAAGTGTTCATCTTTCCTGAAAAACCCAGTTCAAAAAATCAAATAAAAACTGAAAAAAAGCCACCCAGAGATGCAAATACAAGTTAAAAAACCATATCCTTAAAACTAACGAAAAGGTCAATTTCCAGACACCCAAAACTAAGAACAACAAAATGCTGAAAGAAACAAATCTGCTAAATCAAAATCCCCCAAACAATGTATTTACTTACAAGGGTGAGTAACGAGCCCAGAAGTGGTTGATGAAGGTGAAGAGAGAGAAGAGAGAGGAGAAGTGAAGAGGAGCGCCATTTCTACAGTGTTCTTTTTTCTTCAAGATAATATGGATAAGCTTTTTTTTTTTTCTTTTTTTCTTACTATTATTTCCGAATAATCGAAAACATTAAAAAGGGAATTGGGAAGAAGAAGAACTCAGTGTTCGTGTGGTGACAAAGAAGATAAAATGTTTACAGGGTTTTATGTACTTTCTCCCCCCTTCAATTATACTACATTGCGTTTTAACCCCTTTATTTTATCTTTTATAGCACTTTTACCCCTAAATTATTCAGAAGCCCCGTGTTTTCATTTGCCCAAATTCTATTATGTCTGAAGTGAATAATTAAAATATAGAATTAAGGGTAAATTACAACCACCCTTGAGGTATGGTTAAATTACGAAAAACCCCCTCATATTTGGATAATTACATTTACACCCTTATTTGTGCATAAATACAATTTATGTTGCACCATAACCTGATACAAGCCAAAAATCCACATCTTATGATCGATCATCTAACTTCAAAATGTGAAGCTCGAATGGGATAAAACAGGTACAAAATTGAGAATATTCAATATAATCTAGAAGATTCCACTAAATTTGAAACCGCAGAGGTGGACGTGTAAGAAAATTTATAGTTAAGGGGATGATTGTAATTACTCAAATAGAAAGAGGGTTTTGTAATTTGACCATACCTTAGGGGTGGTTGTAATTTACCCTATAATTAATTACATTTAACTTTTATAATAAACAAAGGTTTAGAGGTAAGACGACTAGCTGTGGTCGAAAAGCGATAGATACGCCTTGCGAAAAATGAGATTTGAAAAAATGAAACGGTGTAAAGTAGATAAATGAGAATAGACATGATGAAAATTGAAGTTTGATAAATCAAATCAGAATCATTTATATATACACTTATTGGTTCTGGGTCGGTTCTAATTGTTGGATATTTTGCGAAACATATGTGAACACGATTAACAAGGAACTAATTGAGGAGTACGTATCTCCTTCTTTATATGTTACTCTTGTCAAATACATGTTGAATTACAAGTACAAACTCAAGACATATTTATACTAATGTACACGTAAGTAGTACATGCATCATAATAAATAATACTCATCATGAATCGTAGATATACATGTATTTGAGGATTCATGTACTTACCTATTTCATGAATCATATCATACATTATACATGCATGTGGATACATTTCTAGAAAGTGCATTATTTCTCGAATCCCTATTTTTTGATGTAAGGATCTAAAAGAAATCGTATATAATTAGCATTATCCCCCTCTTATAATTTTTTTAATGTATTCAGTCCACACAAACTTAAAATTCTGGCTCCGCTAGTGCACATAACTCTACCCAGAACCATCTGATTCTAGATAATTAAACTCACTCATTACCCACCCAAAAGAGTTCATTTTACCCCGGCCCAAACCCGCCCCAAACCGATCGGTTCCGGGTTTAAAATCCGGCAAACCCATACCCCATTGCTAATGCATAGGTTGTGATTTTAATCCGTCTAAAGTGGACGAAGATGAAAATGGACGAAGATCCTCAGCTCTGGGGGCGCAAATCCAATGCAGCCGAGTGCAGTGTTGCAATCATCAGTTGGTGAAGTTTTTTGGGCCTATTTTGCTAATATGCCAGATTTCTTTTATTGTTGACTGGGCCCATTTTGAAAGATTATAGAGGGCCTTTTTAGCCCACAGCAACTTAATTAATTATTTATTTAAGTCATGCTAATCTTATATGACTTAATTCCACTTCGCACCCTTGAAATATAGTTTTTTAACACTTTACACCCCAAAAAAAATTAATAGCATTCTACACCCTCAAAACACAATAAATTATGAATATAATTCACTCTAAATGAATTTTTAAAAGCTAATATCAAGATAATATAAGTTTTTTTTTTGTGCGAGTAGGTAAAGAAATCGAGTAGTTTATATCTTATATAGGGAAATTCTAGGGTATTTTATTTTGTGACTATTAGGGTTTTTGGTGTATGTACGTATTAGGGTTTTAGGGCTACTTTGAATTTCTTGTGGCAAAAAATGAAGAAATTAATGGTGGTTTCTTCGGTGGTACTTGGTATAGGTTATTGCCTGAGTTTGTCACTCGACGAATCTCAGAAAAGAAAAGTAATCGCAGCTGAAAAACAGTTTTTAAAACGGATTCGGCGCAACTTAATCGACTGCTTCAAGGCACTAATAAACCCCGTTCCATGGTCAACGGCCGATCAAGACTCTTCGGATGCCGAGGGTTTGTTACCAATATATATATACTATGTAGTGTTTATACGAATACAATCCGCATCAACTGATCTTGTGTGTTTGTTTTGCTTTTTTTTTTTTTTTCCAGAAGAATTTAGACACGTTTCGCCTCACTTCCTGACCAAAATTGAATGTTTCTCCCTACTTTCCAAGTACGGGATTGAAAAGTACGAAACAAGAGTATTTGAATCTGGGGATTACAAATGGTATGTCGTTAATTATCATGGTTCATATGTTGTTGTATTACTGAACAAACATATAATAATTATGGATGGACTAGTTAGACAAACTGTTATATATGTTTAAGTTTCTTAAACATAGTTTACTGATTGATCAATTATTTCTTTCTTTCATAATTTCTTACTGATTGATTAATTATTTCTTTATTTCATAATTTCATGCATAAGTATTGTCTATGATCAATTATTTCTTTCTTGTCACAATTTGATGCTTAAATATTTTCTATGTCACCGTTGTCTGTTTTTGTTCGTGACTCGACATGTAGTGAGGAATTATTTTTGGTTTCGGTGAGTATTACCCATTTTTTTCTATTTTAGTCCAATTCCATATCTTTTCGTTTTGCTATGAAATATAATAATAATATTAATTAATCAATTAATCAATCAGTTAAATAAATCATGTAATCAAATATTGGATGAACTTGTTAATTTCAACTCAATAAACATGTTGTGTTTGAAGTGCATTTTCATCACGTTGCATTTTATTCAGGAGACTCATAATATATCCTGATGGAAACGAGAGCCAAGATAAAGGTAACTATGTTTCCGTATACTTAGCCATGGCTGACACTAGCACATTGCATGTAGATTGGGAGATTGATGCGATCTTCACCATCTTTCTCTACAATCAGATCTCAGACAAATATCTATGTTATGAAGGTACACGAACAAATTTATTTCTTATTTTTGGCTCTACATATGCTTTCTAATTAACGCTTTCTCTTTATGAACTTGGCCAGTAAACGGGCGTCGATTCAATGAAACAAAGTCCAAGTGGGGATTTCCTAAATTAATCTCTAAGAAAAAACTGAGAGATCAATCAAATGAGTATCTCGTTCATGACAACTTGGTTCTTGGGGCTGAAGTATTTGTCTGCAAAAGACAACGAGTCATTGAGAGTGTAACTCTACATAAACCTACAGAATCTCCACAAAAACATGAATGGAAGATTCAAGGGTTCTCTAAATTGGGAAATGATCCTTGGTATTCCGAAGAATTCGCCATTAGAGATGTCAATTGGTATCGTGCTATTTCGATCATTTTCGTCAAATCTACTTCTCTTCCTAATTCTGATTTAAGTTTATCTTCTTCCAACTTAGGAAAATGGTGCTGTATCCAAATGGATATTCCACGTCAAAAGGTCGTGCAATGTCAATGTTTTTGTCATGTGTTAGTGCCGAAAGTTTTGATGCTCATCGAAAGGTAAAGGCTGAGTATACCGTAAGCGTAAAAGGCATGTCCGATTCTGATGCTCGCCACAACTCTAGCAAAAGTAAGTTGTATATATATATATACGGTGGTGCCTCCACATATTTGCACTTGTTTATAAAATTTTATTTTTCTTCTAATTTATTACTTCAATTTTCATATATAACTAAAGAATTCAAAATTGATATTCTTGGAAACTCTGATACTTTCTTTAATGTTGCAAATTGGATTTTGTTACCTTATTGTAGTGTCGGAATGGTTTACATCTTCGACTAAGAGTTCGGGACAATTGGAATTCGTGGCACTTGATGACTTACGGGGCCTCCTTGTTGATGATTGCTTAACTCTAGAAGTGGAAATTTTTGTGCAACTTGTTGTGCAATAAGTTATGTACTTTGTTTCTTTTACTTGGAATTTTTTTTAGATTGTAGAAATACGGAGCTTCAAACCTTAAATTGGGAATTTTATTGATCGAGAATTTGAAATAGTTCTTGTAGAAAATATTTCAAAATTACTCAAAAATTAACTAAAAAAATGAGACCTATGGATTTTAAATTATTCGTTAAATGACTCGATCCAAATAAGTTCAACTGATTTTTTATTATGAATTTGAAATTCTAACATCCCATTGCACCCCAATTGAATAACATTTTAGCATAATTACAAATTTGAGTTTTGACCTTCAAAGACAATTTACTTCTTTAAAAAAAAAAAAAAAATAGTACAATGAACATAATAAGTAAATCTTTTTTTAAAATAAAATCAACATAAAAAATATCATATACTTTGAGGTCGCATTTGAAGTGAATGGATTTTAAATGAACTCAACTGGAAATGATTTTAAACGACTGAAGATGGATTTTTCTATAACCAATTATCTTCTACTCATGACTGATTTGACCCATTCTTTTGCCCAAATTAACATTGTTTTAAAAAAAAAAAAAAAATTACCTATTTTGATTTTTGGCTGACTTAAATATTTTTTATTTTTTTTTTTCCTTTGAGAGGACCGATTTAAATAGTTTTGGCTCATTAAAATGTCTTTTTATATATTTAAATATATTTCTGACCAAGTTAATTTGTTTTTTTTATAAATTGTTCACATATTTCAACATAATTTTTACATAGTATTAAAAGACAAATTTACAATATCCGAGTAGGGAAAGAAATCGAGTTGTATTGCGTGCCAAGGCAGGTTATATAATACGGTTCTACTATTAGGGTTTTTGGGGTCTGTATTAGGGTTTTAGGGCTACTTTTAATTTCTTGCGGCGAAAAAATGAAGAAATTAATGGTGGTTTCTTCGGTGGGACTTTGTATAGGTTACTTCTTACTCGGTAACTCTCAGAAAAGAAAATTAATCGCAGCTAAAAAACAGGTTTTAAAATGGATTTGGTGCAACTCAATCGACTACGATCAAGACTCTTCGGATGGTGGTGAGGGTTTGCTACCAAAATATACACTATGTAGTTTTTATTTATGTTTATACGATTTTTTTGCGCATCAAACTTTTGTGTGATTGTTTTCCTTTTTCCAGAATTTACCGCGGAAACAAGACAACACATTTCGCCTCACTTCCTGACCAAAATCGAATCATTCTCCTTGCTTTCCGAGTACGGGATTGAAAAGTACGAAACAAGAGTATTCGAATCCGGAGATTACAAATGGTAAAATAAATGAAGACTATTTTGTCTTTGGTGCAAACCCTATGATTTTATGAATTGTGTTTGTTGTGTGAAGAGTGTAAATGAAGCATACAATGACCCGGTTAGATAAAAGTTCGATCTTGAAGTTTGCCCAATGTTATTATATAGTCCAACTCATTCTCGTATTAGTCCGACTCTTCACCTTTTCGTCATAAATTTAAAAAATAAAAATAATAATAATAATAATAATATCGGATGAAGTTGTTAATTTCAACTCAATAAATATGTGATGTGTGAAGCATTTTTTTATCATGGTGCATTTGTTCAGGAGACTCATAATCTATCCCGATGGGAACGAGAGCCAAGATAAAGGCAATCATGTTTCCGTATACCTAGCCATGGCTGACACTAGCTCATTACCTGTAGATTGGGAGATTGATGCAATCTTCACCATCTTTCTCTACAATCAGATCTCGGACAAATATCTAGGTTATCGAGGTATACACGAACATATTTATTTCTTATTTTCGGCTCTATGCTTTCTAACGCTTTCTTTTTTATGAACATGGCCAGTAAATTGGCGACGTTTCAATGAAACACAGACTAAGTGGGGATTTCCCAAATTAATCTGTAAGAAAAAACTGAGAGATCAATCAAATGGATATCTCGTTCATGACATCTTGGTTCTTGGGGCTGAAGTATTTGTCTGCAAAAGACAACAACGAGTCACTGAGAGTATAACTCTGCATAGACCTACAAAATCGCCACAAAAACGTGAATGGAAGATTGAAGGGTTCTCTAAATTGGGAAATGATCCTTGGTTTTCTGAAGAATTCACCATAAGAAGTTTCGATTGGTATAGTTATCTTTCAATTATTTTCGTCAGGTTTACTTGCCTTTCTATTCTTATTTAAGTTTATCTTCTTCCAACTCAGGAAGATTATGCTATATCCAAATGGATATCGTAGTTCAAAAGGTCGTGCAATGTCAGTATTTTTGTCATGTGATAGTGCCAAAAATTTTGATGATCTTACACAAGTGAAGGTATGGTTTAACGTGAGCATAAAAGGCAGGTCCGATTCTGATGCTTGCCACAACACTGAAAAGTGTAAGTTGTATATTTGCACTTGTTTGTAAATCATTTTTGTGTTCCTATTACTTTCTAATTGATGATTACTTAAATTTTCATCTATAACTAAATATTTCAAAAAAGATGATATTCTTGAAAACCCTAATAATTTTAGAAAATGCATAAACTTTGTTGATCTTGCAAAATGCATGTCGGTTCGTTATACAAACAAAGATGGATGAATTAGAAGTATGTATGTGTAATTGTAATATTAACATTGATAATTGGTTTCCTTGTTGCAGTGACTGAATGGTTTACATCTTCGACCGGGACTTGGGGACAATTGGAATTCATTACACTTGATGACTTGCAGGGTTTCATTGTTGATGATTGCTTCACTCTAGAATTAAATATTTGGGTGCAACTTGTTGTGCGATAAACTATGTCTCATATATACTAGGTACATGTCGTTGAAGTAGTTCTGTTGCAGGCAAACCTTGTAAAACTATTCTACAAAATATTAAATCATCAGTTTTTTTTTTTTTTTTTTTTAATTTTTAATATTTCTTGAGAATTAATAACAAAATTTGTAAATTAGAAGTAGCACCTATACGATACATCATACGTGTACCATATTAGGCAACATTTTCTCCTTTTATTTCAAGATGGATTTTATCATACTTTCGTATATTAGTTTTCAAAATCGACGAATTTCATTTTTTTTAATTAAATTCCAAAATTTATTTGTTCAGGGATGATGCTCGAATGATTTAAGAGATACGTAGCACGAAAATTTCAATTTTCTAATGGTTTTGCATTTCGAACACGTTTTGTGTCATACATTTGAGGACACATGGACACTTTATGGGCCATTTTGCAATTTCTAAAAAGTTAAAAACATACTTGAATAGCAAATTTTCAAATATTTTTGTTGCTTCCCCAAGTATTTACACTATTCAGTGATCAAATTGCAAATTGATAGTTGATAGTAAAATTTATTTTGAATATGTTTGTATGAAAATATACAAAAAAAAAAAATTATATATAAATAAAAACTTTATATATATATATATATATATATATATATATATATATATATATATATATATATATATATATAATATCATATTTAAAAATATACATCTATAATTTTAATATTCACATGTTCTCTCTAAGCTCCAGTATCCCAATTGTTTAGATTTATCGTTTCCCCATTATTTGTTTTCCCATATAATCGGTTTTCCATGTTTGTGCTACATAGCGTAAGAGTTTAATTTTTTTTGGATATGTTGTTTTCGTATCCTTGCTACATAGCTTAAAATTTTTTTTTTTTTTTTTTTTTTTTTTTTTTTTTTTTTTTTTTGCGCAAATGACATATACCTTCCAAGAGGTTAGATCAAATTACATCTAGACTCCTATAGTTAGAAAAAAAATAGATGTTTCTCTTCAGATATGGTTTCGTGTAACAGTGAAAGTCGGATGGATAAAATCGAAAACTAGTCTTTCGAGATTTTTTTTTTTCATAAATCAAATAGAACTTTCTATTCCAGTTCTATAATTTTTGGAATTCGAAATTACTTTTCCAATTATGGAAATTTTGGTAATATCGGAAAATCGGAAATTACAAAAGAATTACAATTGCGATTTTTTTTTTGAAAATGTACCTGAAATTATTCGGAATTAATGGTAATCCTCGGAAATTTCATATATATTGTGTTTTTGTTTGATAAGTTGAATAAAAACTAATATAGTCCAACTTATTAGCAATATACAATATGCAAATTACAACAAAAGAATTATTTAATGAAAATCTCAAAGTAATAGGAACTATCAGAATTATTTTTTAATATCAAATTTAATATGGTGGAACGTACTGAATACTTAGATGCCCAACCGGCTGCCGTAACCCGTTTTGTGACCCACCAAATCTCGGGTTATAATCCAACGGTGGCAGTTTCCGATTTTCATCTTACGGTGGGTAATGATGGAGTACACCCCAAGTCCAGAATGGACGAAGATCCTCAGCTCTGGGGGCACAAATCCAATGCAGCCGAGTGCACTGTTGCACTATTTAACTGATGGGCCAGGCAACTTGGTTAATGATTTATTTTATTAGTGATGCCACGCTGATCCAGATTTGAAAATAGGGGTTATTACAAATAAGCCCGTACTTATTCATAAAGAGATCCAGACAAAAATTTCCTTTACCAATAAGTTCACACGTGGTTCAGATTTTTGTAAAGGACTAAAATAACCCATCATACTTTAATATGCTCCAATTTCATCATTAACCTAATTTAACCTCAATTTGACCCCAAATTTTTCAATTTTGACCCAAAACTTTTTTTTTCTGAAAAAAAAAAAAATTCAAAATTTATTTTTCCCGCCGGATTCCGGCGTTGACTATTTCGATTTTTTTTTCTTTTCCTTCTTTCTGTAACTTTTTTTTTCGTTTAAACAACAATATTACTGTGATTGACAGTAATATCAATTATATTACTGTTAAACACAGTAAAATTAACTAAACTACAGTTTAACACAGTAATATTGCTATATTAATCTCTAGCACAGTAATTAACACAACAAAACTCATTATTATTGTGTAATAGAGTAATATTACTATGTTGACCGTTTAACAAATGTAAACATAATAAAAAGTCAAAAGAATTAATATTACTGTGAGTGACAGTAATATTACTATAACAACAGTAATATTACCGTCAACCACAGTAATATTACAATAATAGACAGCAATATTATTACGTTACTCCGTGAATAACTCAAACAAACAAAAAAATCCAAACAAAATAATAATATTGATGTGGTTGACAACAATATTACTATAACAACAGTAATATTACCGTCAACTACAGTAATATTATTGTGTTTACAGTAATATTACAATAATAGACAGTAATATTATTACGTTAGTCCGTGAATAACTCTAAACAAAACAAAAAATCCAAAAAAATAATAATATTGATGTTGTTGACAGTAATATTATTGTGTTTACAGTTATTTTACTGTCAATGACAGTAATATAATTACGTTGACTTGTCAACAAATCAAAAAAAATTAAAAAATAACAAAAAATAATAATATTGCGGTAATTTACTGTCAACGGCAGAACAATTACATAAATGTATTGTCAATGGCAGTACAATTACGTTCATTAACTGTCATTGACAGTATAATTACGTTAATTTACTGTCAGTGACAACACAATTACGGTCAACGTTTAGCGGCGGACTTAAAAAAAAAACAAAAAAAAAAAAAAACCTTAAAAAAACACTAAAAAAAGTCAACGCCGAAGACCGCCGGAAACCGGCGAAAAAATCCGGAAGAAAAGAAAAAAAAAAGAAAAAAAAAAGTCAACGCCGAAAACCGGCGAAAAAAAAAATTGAAAACTCAACGCCGAATCCAGCGGCAAAAATTTTATTTTTGAAAAAAAAATTGAAAAAAAAAGTTTTGGGTCCAAATTGAATAATTTGCGAAATTTGGAGTCAAATTGAGAATAAATTAAGTTAAGGATGAAATTGGAGCATATTAAAGTATCCTTAAAAAAGTCAAAATTGAATTTTTGTGGTCAAAATTGGATTTTTGTGGATAAAATTGATTAAGTTGGGGTTACCATTATAAAATTGGGTATAAAGGGTTGAGGGTAAAATCTTATACATGAATGTTTCCTTTATTTATAATAAATATTAATGGGATGGGCTTATTGGTGAAAGAGATATAGCACCTAAACTTAAAATAATAAAGATGCTTGGTTGGGGACTTATGGACAAAAACACATTTAAAATAACATCTTAATCCATGTAACATACAAATAAAAAAGATTTTAGTAATTATACTTTTGTTTTTGAATTTAACACAGTGGAACATTAATCAATTTTAGAGCAACTCCAATGGTAAATATTAAAAGTGAACTATCAAATATTTATTTGATATTTGAGATAATATTTTAATATTAATTAAAATTTATCTACTCCAACCATGGTTATCAAATTAATTACTAATTGAATGTTTATGGGTAATTTTATTTGTAATTGCCACATGTTAACTTGTTGGATGTTTAGATAATTACATTTTTTATAACTCAATTTTCAGATTGTATATTTACATCCCAAGAATAGAATTATCAAAATAAAACCTTAATTTGCTAATCCCATTTGAGTAAAAAAAATCTATTTTTTAGTATGTAAATGATGGTTAAAGATTTGAATATCATGTTTGATTATCCGCTGAAGTTGCTCTTAGCTATTTTGACCGATTTAGATTTAAGTGGTTTTGGACTTCATTAAACTATGTCTTCTGTCTATTTAAATATATATTTTTTGACCAACGTAACTTAATTCGTCTTTGATGAATTGTTCA